CCTGTCCTGAGCGAACTCTTCACCTTTCCATCTAAACATGCCCTCCACCTGGATCCTCTTATCTCTCATCCAGTGGGTGTGGGGTCTCTGCTCACTTACACCAGAAACCTTGCCCACCCAGCCACCCTCCCCCATCTTGTCAATTAACAAGTCCTCATTGCCAGCTTGACTCCTAAGCCACCCTGACTACCACCTGAGACTACAGGCCACCGTCACCTTTCAGGGAATTGGAGCGGCAGCCTCCTCCTTGGCCACCCTGTCTCAACTCTTGTCCTCCTCAAATCCGGCCCGGATGGTTTTTTGAACCAGCAAATCTGATTCCATTTCAAGCCTCTTTCTATGTTCCCCACTCCCATGCAATATGTTCACAACCTAAACTTGGCATTGGCAGCTCACAATTCTATTCAGAACGGCAGCTTTTTAAAAAGTTACATTATGAACTATTTAAAACCCACAAAGAGGCATAAAGGATATAACAACACCCCTATCCATCCCCTAACTTTAGAGATAAAGCCTTATCTCTAAAACAGCCGAAGCTCCCCATGGACCCCTCCTCTCCCTCCTTTCCCACAGAGGTAACTGCCATTATTCCTATGATGTCTTTGTAATTTTCCTTAACATGGCTTCTTTATTTCATTATAACTTGTCATTCTTCCTTATGAGCCTCTCTTGCTGGTTAGATTTCAGTGAAGTCCAGAAAATGCTAAGAGACCGTTTAAAAAGTTGTCCTTTCAGGCACATTCTCAGGCTCTCAGGTCATCTCTCCTTCTCCTTGCTGCTCTGCAATGCGATGCCTGAGTAATTCACTGGGTGGGAGGGGTGTGGGAATTGAGAGGGTAGGAGGCAATGTGCTCAAGTCCATACCACGTTCTCCAGATCCTCACTGATTCCCTCTGTGGGGTGGCTGGACTCAGCCTGTTCAGCTTCCCCTGCCACTCTGACTCCAGGGGTGCTATGCCATCCTCTCTCCAGCTCATGGCCTGAGAGGTCCAGGCTTTGCTGTGGGCTCCCCCTGCTCCCTTCACCACTGCAGACCCCAGAGTAGGCTCTCTGATTCTCAACTCGACCATCTCGCATAAGATATGGGAACTGAAGGGGGTTCAAAGAAGCCAAGCTCCATCCCTTCCTCTGCCTAATCACACTACTCTGTCTGTTTCACTCTGATAAGTTGGGGCAGTTTGAGAGGTGTTTTCCTTTCTGATCTCAAATATGAAGCAGGGCAAACCCCCCAGGTCTGGTGTTCACATCAACCTCCCTGACAAGCAGATGAGGTTGTTCCTCATCTGTACCCTTCTTACCTCTGTGGTAGGTAGTCTCCGAAGAGGACCACTATTAATTCATCTCTTCCTGTATGTGCAAACTGCTCCTCCCATCAAGAAGTATAAGCTATTTCCTCTCCCTGACTCAGGGCTGGTCTTGTGGCTTGCTTTGATCAACAGAGTGCAGTGGAAGTAATGTTCTGGTACTTCTGAACCCAGACCCTAAATGTGCTGGAAGCTTCCTCTTCCTCTCAGTTAGAAGCCATCTGCCATGTACCCTGAGATCATCATGCTGTGAGGAAGACCTGCCTAGCCACATGAAGAGGCCAGGGAGGGAGGGAGAGAGAGTGAGAGAGAGAGAGAGAGAGAGAGAGGCCCAGCCAGCCCTAACTAGCTCTTCCATTTATTCCAGCCAGGCACCAAACTTGGGAGTTAAGAAGTTTTCTTGGGGACTTCCCTGGTGGCGCGGTGGTTGGGAGTCCGCCTGCCGATGCGGGGGACAATGGTTCGTGCCCCGGTCTGGGAAGATCCCACATGCCGCGGAGCAGCTGGGCCCGTGAGCTATGACCGATGAGCCTGCGCGTCCAGAGCCTGTGCTCCGCAACGGGAGAGGCCACAACAGTGAGAGGTCTGTGTACCGCAAAAAAAAAAAAAAAAAAAAAAAAAGATATTCCAACCCCAACAGATACTCCATGAACAGAAGAACCACCCAGCTGAACTCAGCTCGGACTGCAGAATTATGAGAAATGATGAAATGTAGTTTTAAGCCACTAAGTTTTGGGGGTGGCTTATTATGCAGCAATAGCAAAATGAAACACCCCTCCAGCTGCATTTCTCACCGCTGCCTGCCTCATACTTTGTGCTCCAACAACTCAAAGCAGCTTGTGGCTCCCTGCGTATGCTATGCTGCGTCTCACTTCCATACCTTTTATTCAAGCTATAATCTCTTTTCCCACCTCTCTCCTTTGCCTGGCTAACTCCTGTTCCACATCTGACTCTCTCTCTTTTTTTTTTGGTAGGTGTCCATGATACCCTGGGCAAATCACATCATTACACTAATGGCATTATACTATAATTATTTATGTATCTGCCTCCCAAACTAGGCTTGAATTCTTTAAGGCTGGGTACTATGTCTCATTCGGCTTTGAGACACCACTTTATATGGAAACGTGAGCAAGTCCCTTAAACTTCTTTAGCTCAGTTTCCCCGTGTCAATTGGGGATAGAATTCAGTTGTCTGTAGCAGAAGCCCAACCTCATTGGGTTAACCAAATAATGGTTTATTTTTTTCACACAACAAGTCTGAAAGTAGGTCTTCTGGGGCAGAAAGAGTGGCTTTACAATGTCAGAATATCCCAGTTTCCTTCTATAGTCCTCCTTCACCACCCTTAGGATATGGCTGTCCTCCTTATGGTTGCCTCAAGGTCACAACATGGCTGCTCCACCACCAGCCTCGTATCCACGTTCCAAGCAGGGAGAAGGAAGGAACAAGGAGAAAGGGGCAATATCCATATAAGGACAGCAACACTTTCCCAGAGATCCCCAGAAGACTTCTACTCAAGTCTCACTAGCCAGAACCAATCACATGGCCATCCACAGCTGCAGGAGTGACATGATAAAATGTTTGCAAAATGATAAATGTCTGCAGTAATTGCCCATGGATCATAAACTTTGAAGTAGAAGCAGTAACTGCTTGGGGTTACCTTTCTGTAAGGAACAAGGAGAGGATGGATGTTGGGTAGCAACTGGCAGTTTCTGTCTCATTCCCCACCTATAGAACAGGATTAGGACCTACCTCACAGAGTTGATGAAATTGAGAGAGAACGTAGGCAAAATACTGTTCTTCGTACCAAGGACACAGTAAGCGCTCAATAGAAGCAATTATCTTTCTGCATTTCCAGACATGGCACTTAATTCAAACATCCAAGAGTTTTCCCTGAAGGGGCAGAGATTTAGTTGGCTCAAGGCAATTGTCCCACTCTGTCTGCAATGCTTCTGTGGTGAATTTGCTTCTGATGATTAACAAATCTTTTCTCAATAGTCTGTTCAACTATTAATAAATCCAAACAGGATTATCATTATGACTCTTCACTTACAACGTGTGACCCAGAAAAAAACAAAGCTTTTTGTCTGGAGAGACACGAAAGGCAAATGAGCTGTTTTCTTTGCTTTGTGGCTACAGTGCTGCATATTTCATTTCTGATTCATGGAAAAATATCTAGCACACAGGAATCAGTTAGATTGGTGAGCAGTCTCAGACCAGGGGAGTTAAGAATAAAGTCTCCAAATTCTTAGTCACTGGGACCTGGAAATGTTAGCAACAGGAAGACTTCTTTTTGCTAGGAAACTGCTCTGTGAATCTGCAACTCCCCTTGCTCCACTGGGGTTTTTTGTTTGTTTAAGCAGTATATCTAAAATTTTCTGTATTGGTTAGGACATTTTTGTTTGCAAGGGAAAAGCATAAAATGGCTTATTAAAAAGTGAATTTATTGCCTTGAGTGACTAAAAAGTCCAAAGTAGAGTTTCAGGCACAGCTGGCTCCAGGTGCTCAGGAATCTCTCCATTTCTCAGGTTCTCCCTCTGTGGTAACAAAACAGGCCCCTTGCAGCTCCTAAATACCAACCACCAGCTCAGCAACCCCAGCAGAAAGAGGATGCCTTTTCCCCAGTGGTTCCTGAAAAACCTCCAAGATTGGACCAACTTGGGTCACATGCTCACCCCTGAACCAATGACTGTGCTAAGGAAATGTGGTTCTCTTATTGGCTAGTCTGGGTCACATGCCTGAGCCTGGAGCCAATGACTGTGCTAAGGGAATGTGGTTCTCTTATTGGCTAGTCTGGGTCACATACCGAAAGCCAGGAGGTGGGGTCAGCCCCATTCAAACCACTTAGGTCAAGAATGGGAGAGAGATGGTCCTCCAGAGAATAGTTGGGGTGCTACTGCCAGCAGAGTAGTGTGCCCAGACCAGCCTCACAAAATCTTCTGGAGCTCTGAACAGATTCAGCTTCATTTAGATATTATTGAACGTTAATACCATAATAATACCAGTGACACCCTTTGCCATCTGTCAACATCCTCATTTTTCAGGCTCATTTCAAATGTCACCACAAACAAATCTCCTTAATGAGATTAATTTTCCATCAGCACTTTATTTTCCTCTCACGGCATGTATCATTTCTTGCCATGGATTATGGTGAGTTACACACCCATTTGTCTCCACTCTAGAGCTGAGCAAGGCATACCTCTCATTCATCACGGACAGCCTGAGGATAAGGGCTTCTGTCTGGCTGTGACCAGGACTTGGAATGAAGAGAATGCAGCATGGTAAGGAGGGGAGAGATCACATGGCCCCCTCCGGGAAGAAAACGCATCCAGGGGGCAAAATTGGATTTTAGAAGTCAGGCTGGCTTTTCTTTCTTAAGTTATATTGGAACCGTATTTTTTTTTTTTTTAATATACATGTGTGGCGAAACCTGGAGTGAAACTGAAAACGGATTCAACCCCTGAGATGGCAGTAGTCTTGGAAATATATCATGTCCTGAATGAATTAGGACGGCAGGGAGTTGTGAGACGCTTTCCTCCCTTCAGTAAACAAAAATGCAAATATCCCAGATGCCTTTTACACCCTCCCCAGGGCTAGCAGCTTATTAATCAGTTCAGAACCTTTCCACACTGCTCCAATTTTTTACAAGCTGTCTGTTTCCTCTCCTGTCGTTGGTGGCTTAATTCCAGGGACACTCACCTTGGGAGAGAAGGCACCGACATACCAAGATCCTTCCAGAGTCACCCTTGCTTGCAGGCACCTGCAGATTTCCCTTGGATGTTTCCTGTTCAACACAACAGGTTTTAATTATGTGAACGAATATTTGCTCACTATTAAACCATGTTTACCCTCGTAAAAGGCAAACTCCAAAGGACGGGGATTAGGCAAGCCCAGAAGGAGCTGAACATTTATGTAAACGTGCTCAGGTTTCCTACCACCTCGCCTTTCCTTCCTGCTCCATCCTTCTGGGCGTTCTGCACGTTGGTCTTCTCATTTGAAACAAATGATCACAAGTTCTCTTTTTGCAATTTCCACCTACTCGTGGAAGCAGGACTACGTTCTCCTCCTACAGACACCTCATCCTTCTGTGCAGAAATATCCTCTGTTGGTTCCTTAACAAAGACTATTTGTGACCCTAATGGTGCTACAAAGGTGCTTCCCTTTCTGTGGCTTCTGGGTCATATTTCTGAACGAAAGGAAGACTGCCTCAGAAAATCTGAGATGTATTGTTTCTCAGTTCTTGTCAAGCATGTCGCATAGTTTGTTCCACTGCCAATTTCTTCCTCATAATTCTGACATGTTGGTTCTGAAACACATTCATTTCCCATAACCGAAAGAGCCCGAGGGGCAGGGGTAAGGGAGGGGACTTTACAATTCAAGAGAGATAAAAATGGAAGCTAGTTGTATGAGACTTCATTTATTACAATAGTGAACACAAGGGTTTCTAACGTATTGTTTTGGGTGGTTGTTAGAGTCCAATGTTCTTATTTAGAGCTGAGAGATTATGTTAAGGTCCTTCCTCCCCTCCCCCCCCATACATGCACACCAGGCTGCTCACATAAAGGGTTGAGGGGGAGACATCTCAGGAAAGGAAGCAAGAATGAAGTCACACATCTATCAACCAATGGAAAGTGAGCCATTTTATCCACGAAGTAGCTGAAGCAAGCGCACGTAAGCACCCTTTCATCTACAGCAGAGCCTGTGCTTGGATCACAAAAAGTCTGACCCACACCAGAAGTTTCAGTACAGTAGACATTTCACAAGGCAAAGCGCATGCCCTTCCTCTTCTCTAAATTAGTTCTGTGATGCTGGTGGAATGAAAGACTTCGGCTTTCAATACGCATCACTCCGATATAAATAACCACCTCTGAGGGCCTCACACTTGACTTTCTCAGAGCTCAGGTCTTCACTTCCCCCAATGTGTGGTCAAATACACCTGTTCCTCCAAAAAATAGCACACTGACTTCTTCTAAGTAAATTATCCTCAGATATTTCCAAGGCAAGGTTCTCTACCTAGGGGATCAGTTGCACATGCAAGATGCTCCATTGCATTTCTCCAAAGACACTAACCTACAAATGCAGACAGGCGATTCTGGAAATCAAAGAAAACCTGCCATACACTGTGATCTTTAATCACTGCCTGTCTGTAGGTATAAATAGTTCAGCTGAAAACATGCCTGTTCAGACAAGCCTGTGTACACTGCACATGCGCACACGCACGCACACACACGTAATGCCATGTGTCACAAACAGTAGAAAATTCCATGCTTTCAGGACAGGCACCAGCCAAATCCTTACATTGTGAAGCTAAGAATGCAAGTGGCAAAATGAGTGATTTCAGGCCACTTTTGATTATATGTTTGGAGCTTGGCCAGCAGAGCAGATTCCAAGCAAACCAGCTCAGGTGGTTCACCGTGGAATGTGCAGTTCACCAGCCTGAAACCAAGCTCTTTGTCAAGCTAGGGGGATGTTTCTTCTCCTCATCCCAGCTCAATCTCCAGTTCTCTAACATGTTAACTAAATCCCAAGTAATCAGCCTTCCCAAAAATGTGTAAGGAAAAAGGTTTCAAAGAGGAGGGGCAGACAGAACAAAACCAGCTCACATCACAAGCAGCTGGAAAGTCTGCGAACAACCAGACAAGCCCATGCTGAGCACCACTAGTTAACAGACATGACAAGGAGCCGATGCGCCATGTCAGGCCAAGGGGGAGAACAGACTGAGTTCAAACACACTTCTCCCCTATGTGACCCTACACCCAACATCCAGCTGGTCAGGAAAATAGTTTCCCCTAAGCGGGCAGCCTTGCTTGAGGAAGTCCTGTCTAAAAACAAAAGCTGACCCTGGGGATTTGTGATAAAGTTCAAATTGGACCCCTTTTTATACTGAGGATGGACTCAGAACACATGACCTATTTTGGGGCCTCTACTCAGATTGAGAGGAGCTGGGGCTTTAGGAGGGAAGAAGCAGCTGTGGTTTTCCTAGCCCGAGAACCCAGATTCAGTGTGCATCAGGCTAGCTTGAAGATTCCAGAATAGAATCTTCCTCCTTATTAGGCACAAAAGTCCATGAGAACCACACCTTTAAGTTAAATAAATGCACAGTAAATGAATAACTAGTTATTGACCATTTATATGCATGGCATTTGGGGTGGCAACCACTGATATAGAACATTTGCCCCATTTAAGATCTAACTGAGGCATAAATTAGGGGAAACTATACCAAAGTAAAAAAAAAAAATTTTTTTTTAATTTTTGACAGTTTCTTAGCTCTTTGATGTTATCACCTGTCTTGAAATTCAAAAAAAATAAATATTTAAAAATCTAGGCAGCAAATGGTACAATTTTATTCATGCCCTAAGTGTTGGATAATAAATTAGCCTCTGTCTCTCACCCTCATAAATTCCAGATTGATTAAAAAGCCTAATGTGAAAATCAAAATGAGTATTAAAAGGAAACATGAGAGAATATTTTACAATCTTGAGATAAGGAAGGACTTTCTAAGCAAGACATAAAACTCAGAAACCATAAAGAAAAAGATTTATAGCATTGACTAAATAAAAATTTTAAACTTTGTGAACTAAAAGTCAATATAAATAAAGACCAGGAAAAAATATTTACAATAGCTATACAAAGAATTAACATCCAGAATAAATAGAACACATACAAACCACCTAATAATTAACATACAAGGAATAGTCATAGGAAATTCACAATTAGCCAGTTTGATAATACTACTCATGACCCCAAAATTTCATTCCTAGATATATATACACAACAGAAATGTATACACATGTATTCTAAAAAACATGCACAAGAATGTTCATAGCATCAATATTTGCTAATAGCTGAAAGGTGGAAAGAACCCAAATGTCCATCAATCAATAAATTGTGGTATATTCACATAATGGAATATAATAAGCAATGTATATTAATATATTACAGCTACGAGCAAGTACATGAATACTCATAATGTTGAATGAAGGAAGCTAGACCTAAGAGTGCATGTTGTATGATTCCATTTTATGAAGTTCAAAAACAAGCACAACTAATCTATAGGAGGTATATTACAGGATAGTGATTTCTTTGGGGGAGGTGGGAAAAGGTCTGATAATATTCAATTTCTCGACCTGGGTGGTGGTTACAAGAAGAGCTCAGGCTGTGTTAATTCTTTCAGTAGTACACTTACGACTTGTGTACTTTTCCGTATTTTTATACTACAAGAAAATGCTCCCCCACATCCAAATGGTCAACAGGCATATGAAAAGATGCACAATAAAACTGGTAAATCAGATAAATGCAATTTTAAATGACACGGATTTTTCTGCATGTAATGTTAGCAATTTTTTTTTTAATTGATAATGTTCAGTGTTGAGGAGTATTTTGGTGTCTTTGTAAATTAGAACAGAATTTTTGGGGAGAAGCTTTAGTATTATTTACCCCAAATTCAAATGTGCATGCCTTTTGGTCCAGAAATTCTACCTCTAGGAATATATCCTTCAGAATTTATGCATAAGCACATAAATTTGGGTCCAAGTATGTTTGCTGTAATATTGTTTGTGATGCTGAAAAATGGCAAACACCTATGTACCCACAATCAGGAAAGAATGCAGCTGTTAAAGAAAATGAGGGAAACCTCTATGTACTAACACAGAAAGAACTCCAGGGTACATTGTTAAGTTAAAAAAAAAAAAAGTAAGTCACAGGACAGAACATATTATATGATCTTGTTTATGTATAAATGACCTGAATGTAAACTTTTAAAACAAACAAAATTTAAAACAAGAAAACAAAACTGAAGTCTGATGTGGCTCATTTATCTAAATATCTTACAAATCCTATCACAAAAGAAACTTAACTTCTCTCTGGAGATAGAATGCACCGTATAAGAATTCCCTGGAACCGTCTGTCTGTTTCCTGGGACAGATCCTGAGAAGCCTGCACCACGACAGCGAAGAACTGTTTCTTGTTCCACAGACTCCTGGAGGAGCCTCAGTGTCTCAGAAATGCCAGCTCCCACACAGGCCTGAGCAACAGCACATGGAGTCTCTCCAGCCCTTTGTGCTTCCCAAGCACTTTTCAATAATTAACTAATCTGCCTAAAGGGCGGGGTGGGTGTGGCTCCCACAGACGCCGCATTCCCGTCAGACGCAGTCCCTTAGCAACGGCTGTTCCTCGGCCCCTGCCCTTCCTCAGCCCCCAAACTCAGGGAGGCGAGGGGGGGCCTTCAAGGGCAACTGGGGGGCACCAGAAGGCATCTTCTCCGGGAAGAGTTATACTATACCCTCCCGGCCCCATCTCCACCTCTGGAGGAAGAACATTGCAACACACAGCAGGAGGAATAACATCTTAGTACTGTCAGTTTCAACTCTCCCATTTTTTGCTCAAGGATCCTGCGAACAACAGAAAAATGTATAGATCCTTTCAATTTCTTATTGTACAAATAAGTAGCAGGAGCGGTCTCTGTTACCATATTTTCAAATGGCTGGCACCTGCAGCGAAGGTTTCCAGCCTCTGGAATTCAACAAACCATTAAAATTTCACAATTTGGGGGGGAACCCAAAAAAGAATTGCTCATTTTTATTTTACCCAAGTACAGACATTTTAAAAAACAACCTGGCTCTTGCTACCATAAATGAGTGGGCACCTCAATACCAAAACAATGTGATCATGACAATCTCAGATTTTAAAAGCAGCATTTTAAGTTTAATACACTTAGATCCATGAAAAACACGCATTCCTCATAGACTGGTGAGCATTTCCTCACAGAATGGCATCAGTCCCCTTGGAAAGAGTTGACAGAGAGTAAATCCTAAATTCCCAAACCTGTCTATGCCTGAGAAAGACAAGAAGGCATTTCAAAGAAAATACAGACTCCAGGTTCCCACCCCATATTTACCACATCAGCCTCTCAGTTCTTCAAGAATGGGGCCCTGGTATGTGTATTGTTTTTAAAAAAGGTTTTTTTTTTTAACTATGATAAAATATTCATAATATAAAATTTACCACTTAAACCATTTTTATGTGTACAAGTTAGTGGCACGAATACACTCACAGCATTATGCCATCATCACTACTATCCATTCTGAAACATTTTAATCATCGCAAACAGGAACTCTGCAAGGGTTTAAAAATAACTCTCCATTTCTTCCTCCCCCTGCCCCGCCCAGCTCCTGGTAATCTCTATTCTACTTTCCAGGTACCACATATAAATTGAATCATATGATATTTGTCATTTTGTTATTTTACTTAGCATAATATTTTCAAGGTTCATTTACGTTATAACATGTATTAGAATTTCATTCCTCTTTATGGCTAAACAATATCCATTGTATGTATAAAGCACATTTTCTTTATCCATTCATCTCTTGGTAAAACAGTTGGGTTGTTTCTATTTTTCAGCTACTGTGAATGGTATACAAGTTTCTGGTTCAGTGCTTGCTTTCAGTTATTTTGGGTATATACCAAGGAGTGGAATTGCCGGGTCACATGTAATGCTGTTTAACTTTTTGAAGAACCATTAAACTGGTTTCCACAACAGCGCACCTTTTTACATTCCCATCAGCTATGCACGAGAGTTCCAATTTCTCTACAATTATGTCAACACTTGTTATTTTGTTTGTTTTTTGTTGTGTTTTATTTTGTTTTGTTTTGGGTAATAGCCATCCTAAGGGGTGTGGAGTGATATCTCTTTGTGGTTTTGATTTGCATTTTCCTCATGACTATCTTCATGCATCTTTTCATGTGCTCATTGGCCATATGTATATCTTCTTTGGAGAAATGTCTGTTCAAGTCCTTTGCCCATTTTATTTTTTTATTTTTTATTTTTTAAAATACATCATTTAATGCGCCCATTTTAAAATTAGGTTTTGTTTTGATTTTTTGCTGTTGAGTTATAGGAGTTTTTAATATACTCTGAATATTAACTCCTTATCAGGCTTGCAAATATTGTTCCCATGCTGTGGGTTGTCCTTTTACTCTATTAAGAGTGTCCTTCAATGCAATAAAGTTTTTAATTTTGTTGAAGTCCAGTCTGTCTATTTTTTCTTTTCTTGCCTGTGCTTTTGGTGTCATGTCCAAGAAATCATAACCAAGTCCAATGTAATGAAAATTTTCTCCTGTGTTTTCTTCTAAGAGTTTTATAGTTTAGCTCTTAAGTTTAGGTCTTTGTTCCTAAACAAAACGGATTTTTGTATATAGTATAAGGAAAGTGTCCAATTTCTTTCTTTTGCATGTGGATATCTAGTTTTCCCCATACCATTTGTTGAAAAGATTGTCCTTTCCCTATCACATGGTCTTGGCACCCTTGTCAAAGATCATTTGATCACATATACAAGGTTTTGTTTCTAGGATCTCTATTCTATCCCACTGGTCTATATGTCCATCCTTATGCCAGTACCACACTGCTTTGATTATTGTAGCTTTGTAGTAAGTTTTGAAATCAGAAAGTGTGAGATCTCCAACTCTGTTCTTCTTTTGAAACGTTGTTTTGACTATTCCAGGTCCTTTGAGATTCCATATGAATTTTAAAATAGATTTTTCTATTCTGAAAAAAAAAAACTGCTGTTGGGATTTTGAAAGAGATTGCATTGTATGTGTAGAGCAATATTTTCCTTTTAACAATATGAAGTCTTCCAGTACATGAACTCAGGATGTCTTTCCATTTATTTAAGTGTTCTTTAATTTCTTTCAGCAATGATTTGTAATTTTCAATGTTCAAGTATTTAGCCTCCTTGATTAAAAATTTATTCCTGAATACTATATTGTTTTTGACACCCTGATAAATGGAATGATTTTTTTAATATCCATTTCAGATTTTTCATTGCTAATGTATAGAAATGTAACTGATTTTTTGTGTGTTATTTTGTATCCTGCAACTGCTACATTTTTAAAATTAACTCTAGCTGTTGTGTGTGTGTGTGTGTGTGTGTGTGTGTGTGTAATCCTTAGGATTTTTTACATAAAAGATTCTGTTGTCTGTGAACAGAGATAATTTTACTCTTTTCTTTCCAATTTGGATGCCTTTTTTCCTATTGCCCAATTTCTCTGGCTAGAACTTCCAATATTATGTTGAAGGAAGCAGACACCCTTCTTTTTTTCCTAATCTTAAGTGAAAACCTCTCAGTCTTTCACCATTGAGTAGGATATTAGCTGAGGATTTTTCATATATGGCCTTTATAAGTTGAGGAAGTTTCCTTCTGCTTCTAGTTTTGTCATTGAGTGTTGAATTTGTCAAATGGTTTTCTGCATCAATTGAAATGATTCTGTGGGGTTTTTTCTTTATTGTATTAATGTGGTATATTATAGTGATTGATTTTTTAAAATTAATTATTTATTTTGAATTTTTGAAATTTATTTATTTTCTATACAGCAGGTTCTTATTAGTTATGAATTAGTGTATATATGTCAATCCCAATCTCCCAGTTCATCCCACCACCATCAACCCCCCCACCCCTGCCAACCGGCCACTTCCCCTCTTGTTGTCTATACGTTTGTTCTTATAGTGATTGGTTTTTAAATGCTGAACTATCCTTGCATTCCATGAATAAATTCTATTTGGTCATGGTATATAATCCTTTTAATATGTCACTGAATTTGATTTGCTAGTATTTTTTTTTTAATCTATATTCTTAATGGGTCCTGGTCTATAGATTTCTTTCCTTGTTGTGTCTTTTACTGGCTTTGGTACCAGGGTAATGCTGGTCTCATAGAATGAGTTAAGAAGTGTTCCCTTCTTTTCAATTTTTGGGAAGATTTTGAGAAAGAGTAATATTAATGCTTCTTTAAATTTTTGGTAGAATTCTCCAATAAAGCTATCTAGTCCTGGAATGTGTGTTTCTTTTTTTAAAAATTTATTTTGTTGAAGTATAGTTGATTTACAATGTTGTGTTAATTTCTGCTGTACAGAAAAGTGATTCAGTTATACACATATACATTCTTTTTCATATTCTTTTCCATTATGGTTTATCACAGGACATTGAATATAGTTCCATGTGCTATACAGTAGGACTTTGTTGTTTTGGAATGTGTATTTCTAAACCAACTTCTCCCTCTTCCATGCTCCCATATTTCTGATATACAGTTGGGTTTGGGACTAACTACCCCAAATACCCAATTTGAACACTCTTGGATATAACTCTTGATAAATTAGTCACATATTTTTTTAAAGAGAGGAAAAGCTTTGGGTAAGAGTTGTACTCAAGCTACCCAGCTCCGGAAGTGCCCACAGGAGGGAAAGAGAAGGATACAGGGGTGAGTGAGCCTCTGAGAACAAGGAGAGTATTGATAACCTCAGGAGGAGCCGGGTGCCTGGTGTACAGCTTCCACCCTTCACCTGAGTGCAGCTGTTTCCATCCAGATAGCTTCTCCCCACAGCTTTACCTGGCCTGTAACCACTAGAGCTCTGGGCACCTGCTTAGTCTGAGAGGTGGTGAAGGGAGGAGGTGTTATGTACAAAATGTGACTCACAGGAGTCAGACCGCCAGGGGTCAGATCCTTCTCTGAGCTCTAATGGGCCAAGCGGATGGTGGTGCAGCAGGAAGAGGAAGCTTCTTGGTACAAATTGATTAACGTGACGTTATTCTCACTAAATGTTTTCTTAAGCTTGTGCACAAAGATTATGGACAATGGAAAAGTGTCATAAAACTTGTAATCAGACAGAAAAGCTATTTTCTGCAGGTCCCTTTGCCTTTTAACCTCAATCTCTCTTCTCCCCACCCCATCTTTCCTCAGGCACCAGGCTACATTTCCAGTAAAAACTTGCTTGGCCACTTGTGTAGAAAGAGGAGTTAATATTTGAATACTCAACGGACTGGTTCTCCTTGGCAGCAAGTAGCCAAGTAAATATCCAAGCGAGAACAAGGGAAGGAACAAAATGGCACCAAGTCCAAATGAGAAGTGCCTCAGTCATCCTGCAACACCCTGGATGCCCCCAGTGAACAACATCCTCTCTCCAGGTGAGTCATGGCCTCCACACCCAGCAGGGTGTAGACACACTGCACTGAAATAAAATAGTAAGACTAAGTCAAGCAGGTAAAACACTCCCTTGTTGTCAATTTGATAAAATGTTCAATCCTGCTTCAAGAATGGAAGACAGAAGGAGGGTTTTCAACAATACCAGGTTTTATATAATCCCACTAGAACTAGGGATCTGCAGTAAGGCTTGAAAATGTGTAATCTCACAGATATTTCCATCTATAAACACAAAAGTGCATGGAAGCTCTGAAAAAAGTTTTTGTTTTGTTTTAAGGGGAGGGGAACTTCTATAGTGCTCTAGACCTTGAATAGATGATAAAAGACAGTTTGGAAGATCTGAGTTTCCTCTTCAAAATCCAAGATGTAAATGCACACTTAAACTATTCCTACTTCTACTTTTTTTCCCCCTTACACCTTATACCCTTGAAATAGAGAAGAGAAAGTGATAATAGCACCCCAGCTATGCAGAACTGGCTTAGGAGACCAAAGGCCTAAAAGAGATTGTAACGTTAGCAAGAAAGCCTGTGATTAAAAGTCACTTAAGACCTAATGCTCAAATATTCTAAGCTACTATTACATCAGAAGCATTATTTCTCAAGATGGAAGGACTAGTGAAAAACCTTATGGGCCTGCAAAGGTGTAAACTTACCCACAAGGCTGAAGTAGCCTAAGCTCTGATCTTTTTTTTTTTTCTAAGCTCTGATCTTGATGAGCATAGAAGTTCCTCTGCCCCCTTATTATTGGTAGAAAACGTCCCAAATAAACTTACACCAGGTCATTTTATCATTATCATGATGATTATTGTCAATAAACACTTATTAGGCATCCAGTTGCCAGCACTATCCTGACCAGACCAGTTTCAACTTCCCTGAATCATTACTTGGTGAACATATCCATGGGCATTGCTTCATCACTGTTCTGGACTTACACTCTTTGCAATTTCTATATAGATATGTGCTGCTTTTGACACAAGCTTTCCTTGTAAGTAGACACTAAAATACAGGCTTATAATTAGCTCTCTAGGGAGGCAAAAGTGTGTGGTAGAGCAGAGCTTAGCAGGAGAGAAGTCAAGGCAGGTATTGAAGAAACACGGCGTGGAAGATGCGTAATACAAAGGTTATCTGAAGTGTGGGCAATACCACTAAAGTAGGGGAAGAAAACAGAGTCCTATCACTGCAGACTTTTCTAGTTATTATTTCCACACATATTAGCATGTGGTTCTGAAAGTGTACTTGTGCTTTATCCAACCCCATCCAATCTTGGAAACCTATAGTGGGCTGGAATGTAAGACGTATAATCCTGGACAGACCACAGCTCCATGTGGGCAGCAATTGTGTCTAATCAAGCCCATGTCTCCAGTCCTGGGGCCAACACCTTGCCCCATGATGGGCTCTCAGTTCCTGTTTCTTTTTTATTTTCTTTTTCTTTTCTTTCCTTATCTTCTTTCCTTCCTCCCTTCCTTCCTTCTTTCCTCCCTCCCTCTCCCTCTCCTTCCCCTCCTCCCTCCCTGTTCCTTCCTTCCTTCCTTCCTTTCCTTCTTGAAGTGTGTATTTTATTCATCCCTTCACATCTTGAAATTGCCATCTCCCCCCACTACCCCACCATTGATTTCAAGGTGACAAAGGAACTGGTGATAAGTCTGAACTGTTTTTACCTCTTAAATACATCACAAACCATAGCTGCCAAATCATCTATTGAAGAAAACACAGGTCACATCATTCACTGTCTGGTGATCACTCTTCTCCAGGTAGATGGTTCGCTGCCATCATCATGGCAGGAAGCAGTCCTGTGCAGGTGCTAAGTCGCCGCCCTCAGACTCTCCCCTGGGATCGTTCTTTCAGCCCATGAGGCATTTTGATCACTCTTCTCCAGGTAGATGGTTCACTGCCATCATCATGACAGGAAGCAGTCCTGTGCAGGTGCTAAGTCGCCGCCCTCAGACTCTCCCCTGGGATCGCTCTTTCAGCCCATGAGGCATTTTGACGGGTGTCTCTCCTCCGTGCTCAGTGCCGTTACCAGGCGTCAGATACTTGAACATCAAGCCCCAGTTCTTTCGAACCATGGCAGTACCAACCCAGTGCCCATGATGATGGGATCCCCTCTGGTTACGGCTCATGAGATCATTTCTTTAAGAACTGCTCGTTGGAGACGTCTGCCTTAAACGGTGGGGTTCCCAAATGTGCAGTTCTCCTCAACAGCAAGGTTGTAATCGGGACCCTTCCCGTCTTTTGGCCTCTCCCGTTGCGGAGCACAGGCTCCGGACGCACAGGCTCAGCAGCCATGGCTCACGGGCCTAGCCGCTCCGCGGCATGTGGGATCTTCCCGGACCGGGGCACGAACCCGCGTCCCCTGCATCGGCAGGCGGACTCTCAACCACTGCGCCACCAGGGAAGCCCACCCTTCCCATCTTTGTAGGTGCTGGTCACTATCCTCATCCAGTCTTGCTCGACCCATGAATTCCAGACAAGTCAGTACTCCATCCCATCGCTGACGCCCCACCCGGCCACGGAAACGATGTGGTTTATGTAGGCCTTGTCATGGTATTCAGCATAGATGCCTCCAGTGTAGTTAGACCTCTTTTCTGTTGCCATCGTACCGCCTCTGATGGGACCGTTTGTGTAGATTTCCACCATCACCTTTTCCCTCCTGGAGAACAAGCCATAGTCGCCAACTTTCCAAAGGGTGTAGTTCTGGATGACACGGCGCTCTTTGAATTCGGTGCAGGTTCCGCACTGGTTAAACTTGTCACACTCTTGGTCCTTGGCCTGGTCGTTGTTGCGGGTCTCGTCGGGGATGCGGCGCGGGCGGGCGTGCTCCCACCCCTGCAGGTGGTCGCCCGCCTCCCAGGAGCCGGCGTTGCCGCCGTCGATGACGTGCTGCACTGAAGGCCACGCCCCCTTGCGCTTGTTGGGGCTCCGGTCGGCCGTGGCGGTGGTGCCGCCGTCCTGGGGGATGTGCTGGCTCCTGGTGACCCTGGCGTAGTTGACCCCATCCGCGTTGCGCCAGTCCCAGCTCTTGGGCAGATCCGATGGGGACAGGTACTCACGAGGCCGGGGTATGTCTTGCGCCCCAACTGGGTGAGCTGTTTCCCGCGCAGGGGCTGACAGCCCGGGCGGAAGTGGAAGCCGGCCTGCGCCGCTCCACCAGCAGCAAGAGCAGGCAGAGCAGCGGCGGCGGCCTGAACGACGCCATGGACCCCGCGCCGGTGCGATCGGACCCCCAGTTCTTGTTTCTTGAATCACATCCTTCCAGAACTCCCCATTTGTTACTTTCTTAGCCATTTGACATCTAAATCTAAGACTAGAAGTGAACTCTAAACCCTCATGTCTCTAAATTTCAAGCGCCCTGCCGTGGTACATAGAGCCAGTCTCGATGCAGGAGTAGAAAGGATGCTCCTCGACTTCTGCTGTGCCTGGTCTAAGCTTGGCTTACCTCAGATAGAGTTCTGGCTGCCTTATTTTCAAAAGGTTCCTGCCTTTCCTGAGAACTCAGAGAGGTAACATCCACACCAGGACTTAGGCACTGGGCCCCACCACCCTTTGTAACTGTTTTTCTCATTTTGTACCAACTCTTCTTGCTACTCTCCTTCATGTATTTGGAAACTGTCTCTCGCCAGTTTCACTCAGATGACCTACTAAACTGTTTTCTCTGCTCAGCTTATTAAAATAGAAGTTACAATGGACTTGAGTCTTGGTTAAGCTTTAAGTTTGCTGCCATCCGTTAACAGTCTACGCTGTTCTAAGTGATGAACACAGATGTGCCCCTGGAGTAGCTAAAGGCTATGCCGAGAAAATAATATGCTCTCCAGGAGCATGTCTTCTTCCCCTAAAATGCATGAGGTTGTGTCTGCACCAAAGATAGAGCAAGGTTTTCAGGGCACAGATCTAATGGGGAGGATGACATTCAGTAAAACTGCCTTTAGCACAAACTCACAATTCTATCCAGTTCTCCTCACACCTTGTTTCCTCATAAAATTAGGCAAATATTAATAGCTGCAGAATTTTGGTAATTACACAGTGTTTCATACTGCATCGTATAACAGTATGATTTCCAAGTTAGCCTGAGTACACTATTATGTTCCCTGCAGAACCCCAGAGCATAAGGGAGCATCCGTATGATTCCCAAGTGTCAAGCAAGTGACAATTTGCCTGGCTCTGCTCTGGAAAGGCTCTTTTGTAAAATCAGTAAATAAACTAGAAAGTATAGAATTCTATATTTACTATAGTAAAGTATAGAATAGACTACACCTTAGTATAGTATACTATAGAATTTTGGTAACTATAGAATACGCAAAGATAAAATTCAAAAGCTGCTCAAACCTGCTCAGAGGATGTTAAAGTACAGAAAAACAAGTCAACGGCTTTTATATAATGAAGAAATCGCTGCGTTCATTATTGATTCCCTCTTCCAAAAAAAAAAAAGCCACATTTCTAAGTTCAGTGGCAGGAGAGAAAATACTCATCTCTTCCTGTCATTCCCAGAAGTAGTGCTGGAGAAAATATAACCACCCAGGCATGTCATTACTACACTGAGAAGGGTATTACTACACTGAGAAGGGTACACCCACAGGTGAAGCGGATCCCCAGCCGGGTGTAAGAGGTAATGAGCAGAGCTCTAGTTTCTAGGGAAGCATAAATCACAGAACCGTTGTACTTCAGAAACTGCTACATTGTAACCAAAGAGCTGATAATTATGTCAATGAACATTCTGCCTTCTCTTTACTATACTCATCTGTTTGCTTACAAAACTAAAACCTATAGATGTTCTTCCCAAAGGCCATATATTTCTGAAAAATGCAGAAAGTTTCACTAAAAAGAGAATACTAGTTTGAAGAAAGCATTTTATTTTCATAATGTTTTTGTTAACATGTGTTCATTATCTTTATATGAAATGGGTTATTCAGTTAATTATTTTTATAAAATTAAAATACCATATGTAAGAGGGAAAGTGCAGTAAAGAAAGCAAAACTGCAAATTGTGGTAAAAGTAGCTGGTGGTGATGGTAAATTTTAACCCACTAGAAAAGGGGGTCTTTTGACCCCCTTTCAGCCAACCTTTATCAGGCACCCTATGTGCCAAACAAACACCACGCCAGATGCTTTAGGAATACAGGAAGGCAGTATGACAAATGGTCTATGCCCTCAAGGCATTTTTAGTTTAATTGGAATGAACAGTGGTATGTAGATATAGATACAAAAATCAACAATTCTAGGACATGAGCTGTGCAGTGGTTAAAAGTACAGACCTGGAACCAGGTCGCCTCAGTTTGAATCCCAGCTCTACCACTCAAGGCCAGGATTAGAGTGAGACACTCTCCTTGGGCACAAAATTTACAAGGGTGCCAAAAACTTGGTGATCAAGATAAATAATATTTTAATGCAATATTTTTAAAAATCAAAATTAATACAAAAAACTCATGATGCACAAAATAGCAAAAGTTTAAATACAGACAGGCTCCAACAGTCCTGTGTCAAGTCATAGTGGAGCCTAAAGCAAAAGAAAAAAATGTGTGTCCCTACATAGATGTTTGATTGTTTTTTTTTTGTTTTTTGTTTTTTGTTTGCGGTACGCGGGCCTCTCACTGCTGTGGCCTCTCCCGTTGCGGAGCACAGGCTGCGAAAGCGCAGGCCCAGCGGCCATGGCTCACGGGTCCAGCCACTCCACGGCACGTGGGATCCTCCCGGACCGGGGCACGAACCCGCGTCCCCTGCATTGGCAGGTGGACTCTCAACCACTGCGCCACCAGGGAAGCCCTCGTTGTATTTTTTTACTGTTATTTTTTTTCTGGGACATTGATGGGGTTGAGGAAATATTGAAAATGAAAAAGTAGGTGTATTAAAAATCACATTCAGTTTCAATATTTTATTTTTACTCAAAATAGAATTTATTCTAATTTTACTTTCCTGGCTTTCAAGGAAGCAAACTCATCACTTACTGGCTTTGTAAACCTGAGTGAGTTTCTTAACCTCTCTGTCTTAGTTTCGTCCTCTGTAAAAATGGTAGGGCAAACAGTGCCACCTCACAGGGTTGTTGTGAAGGTTAAAAGAGTTATTACGTTTTAAGCACTTAGAACAGCACCCTGTCCAAATTCTCTCCAAGGTACACCTTTGTTATCACTGTATCTTTATTATATAGACAATGAAAGTTTTAGAAGATCAGAGATAAGAGATCAGCTCTAGCTGAGACGATTGGTCACTCATTATCTGCTATATCACTGCACAGGAACATATGCTCCATGGGGGCTTGCTCACCACCTTATACTTGGGTCTACAATAGGTCAAGCCTACGATAGGCACTTGATACATACTGTTTCATTGGACAGATGACAATCAGAAAGTTCTTCACAAAGAAGATGGAATTTGAGTTGGTTGGCCTTCATTAAATGATAGGAATAAAATTGCAGATGATGAGGGAAGGTATGATGATATTAAGTGTGTTGAGTTTGAGTTACTAGCAATATATGCAACTGGAAATATCCACCAGTCCTATGGAAATGTGAGGTTAGCACCTGGAAGAAAGAACCAAAGTGTAAAGTTGGGCATGTTTCACATGGTTGTGATAGGAGCATCACATAAGTAGATGCCCTCTCTAGAGGAGCAGGTGTGTACAGGGCATAGCAAAGAGCAAAGGACCAAGATGTGGAGACAATGACTGGATGAGTCTGACGAGGAGCTGGGGAAGACATCTTAGAATTCAGGATGACTCTCAAGAAGTAGGAGCCGCCACATCGTATGACATCTCCCTGACTCCTAACACATCTCTGAAATAAGTGAAAATGATCTGGATTCGATCCTTAAAGGTGCTCGCTAAAAATTATTTTGTGTCTTCCAAAAGCTGATGAAAGTTCAAATGAAACATTTAGCAGTTAATAGCGTAGGGAATTCCCTGGCAGTCCACTGGTTAGGACTCCGTGCTCTCACTGCTGGGGGCCCAGGTTCAATCCCTGGTTGGGGAACTAAAATTGAGGCTAAAAAAAAAAGCAGTTAATAGAGTATTATTAACATCATATATTTACTTCTAACTACATTCCAGAAAACATATTTACAAGCCATTTATTAGCTCA